CATAAACATGACACTACCCCCGGGGTTTACACAGACGAGCCGGCGAAGCAAGAAGAGCGCCAGAAGAAAGGGCCCTAGCCGGCGGGGCCCAGCCAGGACAAAAGGAGGTCCCACAAAGCGCCTACACCGGCCGCATTTGCGGTCGGGGTAGACGACGGATGGGGCCCACCTACGAAGGCTGTCCAGGCCTACACGAGATGAGGCAGGATAAAGAGGGATAATCCCCCTCGATCCCAAATCATTGAGGCCAATTTCTAGCCATAGAATAATGGCGCGGTTATGTGGTGTACGGTTCACTTCAGTTTTACAAAAAATATTGCAAAAGTGGAATTAATCGAACACTTCGTCGTTCTTGACGGCATCTTGATCATTATTCTCCTCTTTGAAAAATTTTTCATTCATAGAACGGAATATGTTATTAGATAACACTATTTTTTATCTATTTGATATTCTTTATGATTTTGGTGTTTGAGCATCGCCATATTAGGTATCTCACCTTTCAATTTAATAGTACCTACGGGAAAACAGCGCAAATCGCCGACTTATAGGTATATATTTTTTGCAATGAATACACAAATTAACACCGAAGTACGCAGCTAACGTGCTGTGGGACTTGCATGTTTCTACACAGACGATGTAAATAGCATTGGAAAGGCGTTTCATTTTTTAAAAGAACGATTCAATTTTTAGGCCGAATAATTTTATTTGAGACTCGACCAGTTTTAAAAATTAACAAAACCTCCCTTATTAGAAGAATTGACGTTGTAACCGTCACGTAGAGGGTGCTGATGTTAGGGTGATTAAGGATGAAATAAAGTTCCTGGTCCATGTATAGGCGCCGAGGGGCGATCCGCTAAGGAAAAAACGTACGAAGATTACAAAATTTCTGAAATCTCTTGTAATGTATTTGCAGATTTCAATATCGATTAAAAAAAATTACAAATTTCATATAAATAATCAAGATTACAATATCTTTCAACCGATTACAAAACATTTTAGTAGATTTGAATGATTATTTAAGATTTCAATAGGATTATTCGAAATTAAAAGAAGATTTCAAAATTTCTGAATAATATTTCAAGGAATACGGGAAGATTACAATAAGTTTTGAATGTCCAATTGAACAAAAATAATTGAATTAACTTCAACTGTCATTCATTTCATTCATTAACAGTAGTGCTTTGATTAAGAATTTCCAGTATCACTTTTACGCAAAAATTGTAACATTCTGATTAAGTTTTTGTTCGAATGAACGTTAAAAACTTTTTGTCATGACAAAAATGATAACGCCATTTTGAAAGTAGGTAAGTATATATTTTTATTGAAAGATAAAAATATAATAATCCAATAAACTAATAAAAATAAAAAAATAGAAGTAACATAAAATAAACATTTTCCCAAAAAATAAATAATAAGAAATATTTTAAGCTTTTATTAACACTTGTATTTAATACTTTACCTGTATACAGTGTATTTAAAAAAGACGCGGCAATATTTAAGGGGGCGATTGCCCAGATCATTTTATAAAAAAAAGTTCCTATAAACATACGTCCGCAAACGCTTCGTTACCGATCTACAGAATGTTGAAATTTCATTAAAAAAACAGTAAAAATTAAATTTCTCCAAAACCTCTTGATATTATAATGAAATTTTAGGCCTGTCAATAGCTATGGCAGACGCGTACTTTGCAATACAAAACGATTTTTTAGTCTTACCAGTGACTAGCTATTTTTAATGAAAAAAATAGGACCCCGCTGGTTTTTCTAAAAATATAATTTTTTAATTCCTTGTTCAATTATGAAGAAGAAAGCTTTCCTCAGATTATACGCACCGTACGTCACACCGTTATTGAGTAAAAAAATAAAAAACATTTTATTGCGCACCTAAACCCAATGTTGTTTTAATTGAGAAATTTAAATTATTGAACAAAGAAATTCAAATTATCAAATTTGATTGATTTTTGAAATGTGGTACATACTGTTGTTTGTAGTAGGTAATAATAAGGGGCTGCGTTTTAGAGAAATTTAATTTTTACTGTTTTTTAATGAAATTTCACATTCTGTAGATCGGTAACGAAGCGTTTGCGGACCTATGTTTATAGGACTTTTTTTATAAACTGACCTGAGCAATCACTCCCTTAAATATTGCCGCGTCTTTTTTAAACACACTGTATACAAGTAAAGTATTAAATGCAAGTATTAATAAAAGCTTAATATATTTTTTATTTATTAGTTTTTGGGAAAATACTTACCTACTTTCAAAATAGCATTATCATTTTTGTCATGACAAAATGTTTTTAACGTTCATTCGAACAAAAAACTTAATCAGAATGTTACAATTTTTGCCCAAAAAATGCCTGATACTGGAAATTCTTAATCAAAGTACTACTGTTAATGAATGAAATTAATGACATTTGAAGTTAATTCAATTATTTTTGTTCAAATGGACATTCAAAACTTATTGTAATCTTCCCGTATTCCTTGAAACCTTATTAAGAAATTTTGAAATATTCTTTTAATTTCTAATAATCCTATTGAAATCTTAAGTAATCATTGAAATCTACTAAAATAACTCTGAAATCTCCTGAAATGTGTTGTAATCTTGATTATTTATATGAAATTTGTAATATTTTTTGAATTGATATTGAAATCTGCAGATACATTACAAGAGATTTCAGAAATTTTGTAATCTTCGTCTGTTTTTTCCTTGGCGGATTGCCCTTCGGAACACACCAATCGCACCATATAGGTTTCTGTCGAGGTTTCTGTGGCATTCTTTGGAAAATGATGTAGGGGGAGGGGGAGGGGCGTTGTACAACGACTACATCGACGAAATTCATTAGCTGATTACATAGATTACAGCGAGGATTACAGATAAGATTACGTAGATTACAGATAGATTACATAGATTACAGATAAGATTACGTAGATTACATAAAGATTCCAGGGCAAACGTACGAAGATTACATCAGCGGATCGCCCCTCGATAGGCGCTTTAGGATACAATATTTATCTCATATTATGCCTGATCGAATCGAATGAAAATCGAACTGTCCTAGCGTTTTCCACTCCTTCTATGAACATCAATTTTTGTTACAGACAAGTTATGGCAAAACCCAACCAATATCCGTGGCTAAAAGTCCCGGTTACATTCATTATGGAGGTACAGTTTCCGCTACCGGAACAGTTGGCGATGAGAAACGCCCATTTAATAATAACTTAGATGAGCTAGACTCTCTTCTACTTGATCTCAGTAATTCGAGATACGCAAACACAACTACTACAGGTAGGCGATCAGTTTTGTCAACTTATTTGAACTTTTGATAAGCTCGATTTCACTATTATATTAATAATATTTTTGTTGCAGATAACAGTATGAACGGCAGTAATGGTCAATTTAATGAAACCTATAATTCAGTAGGAAAGACCAGCCCCGCAAATTTTTCTAGACCTTCCAGCGCCCAAAATACATTAAACAGACCATCGGTTGATAGCCTTCTGGACGAGCTGAATTCTGGGTAAGTAATTTTTGATAATGATCGACAGTGATGACACTGTCGATACTGTAACTGAAAATTTTTGCATGCTTATTTATTTATTATTAAGCAGAAAGATGATCTTGTGCGTGAATTCCAAGATAGAAATAAAATGTTAAATGAACATATTTTATTATTAAACAAGCTGATAACGGTAGAAGAGTCTAGCGGTTTATATGTAGATAAAAATACAGCAAAAGGATTTTAATTCGGACGGTAGATCTATCCAATACTTCAACTTTGTAACTAAAGCAATCATTATTCGGAAAATAAAACCAGTGGCGGCTCGTGACATTCTGAATAGGTGAGGCTTGTGGCTGTTTTATTAGCTCCCCAGGCAAAATTTTTTCAATTTTCAAGGTCAAACAACTAAATGAATCTGGAAGTTTTTAGTTGCATTTACAAAAAGGATTTTCATTCAGATTTTGTAAAAAATAGAAATATTTACACAATTATTTGCGAGGGGCGATCCGCTAAGGAAAAAACGTACGAAGATTACAAAATTTCTGAAATCTCTTGTAATGTATCTGCAGATTTCAATAACGATTAAAAAAAATTACAAATTTCATATAAATAATCAAGATTACAATATCTTTCAACCGATTACAAAACATTTCAGGAGATTTCAGAGTTATTTTAGTAGATTTCAATGATTATTTAAGATTTCAATAGGATTATTCGAAATTAAAAGAAGATTTCAAAATTTCTTAATAATATTTCAAGGAATACGGGAAGATTACAATAAGTTTTGAATGTCCATTTGAACAAAAATAATTGAATTAACTTCAACTGTCATTCATTTCATTCATTAACAGTAGTGCTTTGATTAAGAATTTCCAGTATCATTTTTACGCAAAAATTGTAACATTCTGATTAAGTTTTTGTTCGAATGAACGTTAAAAACTTTTTGTCATGACAAAAATGATAACGCCATTTTGAAAGTAGGTAAGTATATATTTTTATTGAAAGATAAAAATATAATAATCCAATAAACTAATAAAAATAAAAAAATAGAAGTAACATAAAATAAACATTTTCCCAAAAAATAAATAATAAGAAATATTTTAAGCTTTTATTAACACTTGTATTTAATACTTTACCTGTATACAGTGTATTTAAAAAAGACGCGGCAATATTTAAGGGGGCGATTGCCCAGATCATTTTATAAAAAAAAGTTCCTATAAACATACGTCCGCAAACGCTTCGTTACCGATCTACAGAATGTTGAAATTTCATTAAAAAAACAGTAAAAATTAAATTTCTCCAAAACCTCTTGATATTATAATGAAATTTTAGGCCTGTCAATAGCTATGGCAGACGCGTACTTTGCAATACAAAACGATTTTTTAGTCTTACCAGTGACTAGCTATTTTTAATGAAAAAAATAGGACCCCGCTGGTTTTTCTAAAAATATAATTTTTTAATTCCTTGTTCAATTATGAAGAAGAAAGCTTTCCTCAGATTATACGCACCGTACGTCACACCGTTATTGAGTAAAAAAATAAAAAACATTTTATTGCGCACCTAAACCCAATGTTGTTTTAATTGAGAAATTTAAATTATTGAACAAAGAAATTCAAATTATCAAATTTGATTGATTTTTGAAATGTGGTACATACTGTTGTTTGTAGTAGGTAATAATAAGGGGCTGCGTTTTAGAGAAATTTAATTTTTACTGTTTTTTAATGAAATTTCACATTCTGTAGATCGGTAACGAAGCGTTTGCGGACCTATGTTTATAGGACTTTTTTTATAAACTGACCTGAGCAATCACTCCCTTAAATATTGCCGCGTCTTTTTTAAACACACTGTATACAAGTAAAGTATTAAATGCAAGTATTAATAAAAGCTTAATATATTTTTTATTTATTAGTTTTTGGGAAAATACTTACCTACTTTCAAAATAGCATTATCATTTTTGTCATGACAAAATGTTTTTAACGTTCATTCGAACAAAAAACTTAATCAGAATGTTACAATTTTTGCCCAAAAAATGCCTGATACTGGAAATTCTTAATCAAAGTACTACTGTTAATGAATGAAATTAATGACATTTGAAGTTAATTCAATTATTTTTGTTCAAATGGACATTCAAAACTTATTGTAATCTTCCCGTATTCCTTGAAACCTTATTAAGAAATTTTGAAATATTCTTTTAATTTCTAATAATCCTATTGAAATCTTAAGTAATCATTGAAATCTACTAAAATAACTCTGAAATCTCCTGAAATGTGTTGTAATCTTGATTATTTATATGAAATTTGTAATATTTTTTGAATTGATATTGAAATCTGCAGATACATTACAAGAGATTTCAGAAATTTTGTAATCTTCGTCTGTTTTTTCCTTGGCGGATTGCCCTTCGGAACACACCAATCGCACCATATAGGTTTCTGTCGAGGTTTCTGTGGCATTCTTTGGAAAATGAGGTGGGGGGGGGGCGTTGTATAACGACTACATCGAGGAAATTCATTAGCTGATTACATAGATTACAGCGAGGATTACAGATAAGATTACGTAGATTACAGACAGATTACATAGATTACAGATAAGATTACGTAGATTACATATAGATTACATAGATTACAGATAAGATTACGTAGATTACATAAAGATTCCAGGGCAAACGTACGAAGATTACATCAGCGGATCGCCCCTCGATTATTTGGTTATTTTAATAATCTGTACTCAAATAATAAATAGGAATAAATTTTCACGTCACCCTGCGGCCTGGGGTATTATTATTCCCTGACTCGTTGATCAATTTTTATCATGAAGTTCTTTGCCAACAGTCCTACCTACCATAACCATAAATTAAAAAACTAAACAACATCAGAACTTTAGAAATGTTATTAACAATAAAATGAATAAAAAAAACAAAATTATATATTTACCGAATAATTAAAAATTGTTCCTACTTGATTTAAGAATATTAAAAAATATGAAAGAACGTAACAAATGTTCATAAGGTATCTAGCCAAACTATTTGCATATGAAACAACGCCGCCAGCTTTTTGTTTAAAAAACATTTACCTACTTTTCATAAAACAGGTATTTTCGTCGGTCTTTAAAATTTGCAATTTACTTATAATAATGTCTTCATAAAATAGAGCTTCGGCACGAAGACTTTGCAATAGTTATTTTTCTATCGCAATCAAGCGCTCTTGTGTCGTCGTATTATTCAGCTTCAGACACGAAAAGTTTCTTCCTATCGACACTTTTTACAAAAAATTGTTAAAACTAGGCAAAACTATTTGTATATTTCCGAAAATACCATTTTAAATTTCTTGTATAATATTTCTGGCGTTTTTGAACTTCTAAATTACGAAATTGTTCGTCTGTAGATTATTTTTTGACGTTTCTTAAAACCAATGAAATGCTTCTTTATTTGTCACAAGGGTAAGTTTGAACCAATTATGTCATTATTATAGTGGGAATAAATGTCTTGTGTTTATTCTCGGGAATAATCACTGTGGCTTTTATTTGCGTAGCAAGTGTCAGATAGTTGTCAAAATAATTACCTAATTGTGTCAACGCGATATATAAAATGGGTGAAAATCATCGGTTTAGTACCTTTTCTGATGCAGAAATAACAAAAAAGATTGTAGAAACTACTTCGAAAAATACTCTAATAAGTAATCAGTCTATATGGAGACAATTTAAGACCTTCACCAAAGAAAGAAATTATATTCTGGATCAATCTACTACAACAGCTACTCTGGCATTGATTTTGAAAGATTGGGCTTATAACATGAAAAGAAAAGACGGAAATGATTATAAAGAAGCAGTAATAAAGACAATGTGGAATAAAACGGCAAAATTAGTTCAAGAACTTTACTTTAATAAGTATAACAGGTCCTTTGATCCTTTCCATGATATAGAATTCAAAAATGCTCGAAATGCAAGAGATGCAAAAAGAAAAATTTTACAAAAACATCCTGAAAAGCACAAACAAAGTTCTGTGGCACTTTCTAATACAGAATTGTTGCAAATTTTTAACTATTGG